AAAAAAAAAAAAAAAAAAAAAAAAAATAGAAGGGAAAACTGCGCCACCCACCAACCAAGAAGCAGAAAGAGAACAAGGAGGGGCAGGGACGGACTACACCCCGGGGCCGCACCCTCTGTGAGCGTGCTATTCTGAACGGGCCCCACCTACAGTTAGAGCCCTGGGAATTATTAGTAGTAAGGGCTGCTGATCCACCGCTGAATGAGTGTTCCTGCGGTCTGGCCGCCTCCCAGAGCTCCACCCCCGCTCACCTGAGACGTTTGGGGAGCATGTTAATCTAATCCACGTAATCTGTTGGCCACTAAATACTCCAGTCTGGGCATTGTGCTGCGTCCAAAGGCAATAGGGCTCCTGTTAGAGATGCAGTTTGGCATCAAGAGAAAAGCACAAGGCCGGCGAGCTAGCTCAGAGGCCTACGCGCCTGCTTCTGCGAGCCCAGGGGACCCAGACCCGGACTGGTGGCTGTCGCCAGTAAGTCCAGCGCTGGCGAGGCTGACATCAGGAAGATCACTACGAGTCAAGAACCAGGAGTTTTATACAGGGCGTTATATAAGATTTACGCTAAGTATTTTGAGACGTTCTTCTCTTTCCCCCGGTAGCTATCACGAAGTTTTCTGAGCGTTGTCAGGGCTAGTCCTGCCCCAGCCATCCCCTGGCGCCGCGTGCGAGCTCCGTCCGGAAGGCCGCCTGGCATTCTCGCTCCTTTTCTTTGTCGCAGTAAACCCCTTCCGCAGATTCAGACAACCGAGGAGGGCAGCAAGAAGGAGCTTTTGCTTCTTAGAAGGTGGGAATAATGCCTTGTGGACTTTTCGCAGGGACACGAGCTTGTGCATATTCTTATTTCAATATGTTTTACCTGGTTCCAGAGAACGTCTGTGCCTGTGACTAAATGTAAAATTAATTTGACATCTGATTGTGGGTCATCCCAAATGAAACAAAGTGACAATTCATTGTTTTCAGTTTACTGTGTTCCAGAAAACTCGGCCTGTCCTTGCGCTCTTACTGCTTCAGACTTGGCTCATTTGTACTTTTCAGTAAAGTCAAGCTATCCCCATCCTACGTGGCTGTTGGCTCTGAGTCTTCTACAGACAAGAAAAAGACGACATAATTTGTTGTTTCTCATTGGTTTGAGATTTTAAGTCTCAGTTCTCTTTGATACCCTTCTAACTGTGTCCTGAAAGCATAACATTAGCTGAAATTGCCGAATTCTGACATATGATTAAAAGCACGCTCATTCATACTGGGTTAAAGAGTATCATCATGACAAGTTTCTTTCACTTTTGGAAACAACGTGATTTTTGATGAGCAAATTTTGATTGCAAACATACAATATTAAAGTGGTAACGAAATGTAGCATACAGGAATAATAAAAAGGTTAATGTTTATTTTTTATTAATAGAATCATATTTTTATAGAAGACAAAAAATAGAATGAGGGAAAGAAACATTTTATTTTTATTTGTTCACTCTTCGTGCACAAGTAAAATAATACTTGATTAATTCTCAAAAAGCAGGTTGATTACATATTTTCCATTTCACTTAAGAGTATGATTTTACATTGGTTACTTTATTTGAGAGAGAATTTTGATTACAGGCTCTCAAAATATTCACTCTTGTATACTTTATCAGTGACACAAGCTACTTTTTACTCCTATTTATAAACTGTTTAATTCTCTTCCATTTTTAGATGATAGGTTGTTTATGTACAGTTCACCCACTTTTATGGTGAATTCTTCATAGTTTGAGAAAAATGCAGTTATGTAATAGTCGTCACCAATAAAATGCAGAAATGTCTCCATCTTCAGAATTCTGCTGTGTGCCTCGCATACCCTTCATCCCGTCTTGCAGTCCCCCATCTGTTCTTTAAAAATAATTTTATTGAGAAAGAAGTAGCAATGAGACAGTATCAAAACAGGTTAGTAGGACAGTTCTAATAATTAATACGTTGCATATTGTTGTCTTCGTAGTAGTTATTCATAGCACAAGATGCAGACACGCTATCTTGTCTAAACACTATTAGTTCAAAACTTTTTTCTCATTTACCTAAGAGAAAGTAGCTGCGTATCTATGCTAACTATTTTGTATATAACAGATATACATATTTTTTTCACTACAAAATGGTCCTTCATTTCTATCCCCCTTTTTTGTTTATTTTTGTCAGAGATGGGTATTCCATCGCCATTGATATATTGCAGGCGCATGAATTCCGCAAAGTAATCCAGTGTAGCCCAGTAGTCTGTAGTAGTAGTGGGCTATCGTGTGGCAGTCCCTCGTCTGGATTCGCTGTTTTCTGTCTGCAGTTCTCTCTTTGTAAGTTTCTTATATTAACAGAATCATAGGCTAGGTGGCTTTTGAGTTAGGAGTTTTCATGTACTGTAATACAGTTGAGTTTCATCTTGACTGTTTAAAGATTTTACTTTTCCAAGAATGAAATTGATTCTTCTTATTTTAATTTCTTAGTTTAGAATTCTCCCAGCTTTCATTCAAATGCAGTTTTAGAT